TCTTTTTCTGACCACAGCATATTTTGAATTTTCTTTTGGCTGTAACATATTTTTGCAAATTTTCATTACATTTAAACTGCTTAAATAAATTAAGATGCCTATATTTTTCCTTTTTCAGTTGAGTACATTCATGGTCAAACCAAATTGGTTGACTTCTGGATTTATTGTTAAATAATGTACAAAAACCTCCAGAAGAACAAGCAATGTGGATCAGTATATCTCCCAATGTCTTGACTGCAGTATTTACATCTGTTTGTAAAGCTATGTAAAATTCTTCAAATATATCAGTAGACTGTAGTAATTGTTTATATTTCAAAGCATGTTGATTGCTTAATTTGTATCTAGGAATAGGTGATACTGTTGTTATATGGTCAGTATTAGTAATCACATTATCAAACATGTGAGATATAGTACAGATCAGAGGCATGTGGTCTGATTCTGTTCTTGAACACACTTTGAGATCTACTAGTTTGGGGAATATGTCTGTTGACACAAGGAAATAGTCTACAACACTTGTGCCTAGATGCGAGACAAAAGTGAAATTGCTTGGAATGTCAGACTTCATTCTACCATTAACAATATGAATACCAAATAACTTGCATTATTCAAGTAGACAAATTCCATAAGTATTTACATCTTTATCACAAACATCCCTTGGAAGGTTAAATGAGTCGCTAGTATAATCTTCAGGAAGAGGGAGGTAATTTGTACTGTCATCTCGAATAAAATCCTCTCCATGTCCTACTCTCGCATTTAAGTCCCCACATCATATGTATTTACACTCATCACCATAATCATAATTTATATGTAATAATTGTTTCTCGATTATATCAATGCCATTATCATCTGAGTCAGTATACAATTGTGGTTGGTTGGTTGGTTAATTGTTTAACGCCGCACTCAGCGATATTCCAGCTATATGACGGCGGTCTGTAAATAATCCGAGTCTGGACCAGACAATCCAGTGATTGATATCATTAGCATCGATCCATGCAATTGGGATCGATGACATGCTTCAACCAAGTCAGCGAGCCTGACCACCCGATCCTGTTAGTCGCCTTTTACGACAAGCATAGTCACCTTTTACGGCAAGCATGGGTTGCTGAAGACCTATTCTACCCCAGAATCTTCACGGGTCGTATACAATTGTGACATATTTGGATGAACATACACAAAACCAAGTATAAGTGGGAATTTCTCTCAGTATCAAGCATATTAAAGAAAACACAATTTGTCCAGTATGTGTATATCCTACTAAATTGGGCAGTGATGTTATGACTTATGTATACAGCTACACCTCCTGAGTAACGCCCATACCCTGATAATCTTGATGGGGGACTCACAAAGCAATCATGAGAATCAAATAATGAGTATAGTTTATTTTCATCAACACACCAAGTTTCAGTGAAGCAGAGCACATCAAATTGTGAACAAAATGAAATAAAATCAGGATACATCAACTTTGATAAAAGTCCATGGATATTCCAAGAACATATTGTGTACACTGGTTTTGTGAATTTACCATCCTTAACATTGTAAGAGTCATTTTGTGCTTTTCTGTAATTGGGACCACTGCCAAGATCCTATGTTGTATTGTTGATTGTACTGTCCATTCTGTAGGTGACCTTGGTCGCCAATTCCTCCTTTGTCCCACTTTCTGGACACTGTCACATTCCTGGTTATACACAAACACATCACCATCAATAATCAACTTGTCATAGTTCATGTAAGCAACAGAACCATCATCTCTCGCTTTCTTCATGTGAGGAAAAAGTTTAGATCTAATGTCTGGTACACGTTATGTGAAATCTTCTGAAATTCGGTAGTCACTGCTTTCTCTTAGTACCCTTTTAGCTGTTTGCAGAATGTTGGTTTTGTCTTTAAATGCCGTAAATTTCACGATGATAGGCCGATTTCCAGATTTACATTTCGACGGGAGTCGATGACATCTTTCAATCCCAATCTTATCAAACATGTCAAGCTGTAATACATTGTTAATAAAGTTTCATACCTTATCTTCAGTAGACGCCCATGTCTCCCCCTTTTCCTCCGTAATTCCATGGACGATGAGGTTATTTCGTCGTGACTGTGCCTCGATGTTATCCATTCTCAGGTTCATATGATGTAGTTTGAATCTAAGATCTCTGTTCTCAGTCTCGAGTGCGTTCATCTTCTGATTGAAGTCGAATGTAAACAAATCCACTTTCCTGTCAAGGGAGGTAATTTGGTCCTGTATTGAGAACAGCGTTTTGGCAAGGTCTACCAGCGTCGTTGATCTCTCACATTCTATGCTGCTGCTGATATTCCTGGATGAAAGACGAGTTTGTACCTGGTCACTTTGTTGGGGTTTAGGTGGTCCTGGGTTCAACTCCACATCTACAGCTGCTATCAATAACGTAAGTGTCAGAACTGCAGGGCGTACACATACCCAGTAACCCGTTTGGTGTTCTTATACCGGGGTGCACAGAGCACCTTCGCTTGCTTCTCGGGCAGAAAGTTCCAATTTTCTGCCTCCACACCTCAGTAGTGACTCCCATCTTGTTCAAGAGCCTTCTGTGTGTCCTTATCCACTTGCTCAACCTCAAAACCCAACTTAATTTGTATTATATCAATTATAAACTGATTTTCGTCCCAGCTCTAATTCATGGCTGCCACCACCGGTAGATCACGTGACTCTGTTAACTAGAAAGTTACTGGTAATCAACACACACAAAGGACTCTACAATAGATTACCCTTTGGAATAGCAAATTGCCCAGCAATATTTCAAGAAACAATGAAAACGATTCTGCATGGTCTACAAAGTACAGTCACATTTCAAGACGATATTGAGGTAAAGAGGGAAAGGATCACTTAAGAAAGTTGGACGAAGTTCTATCACGACTTGAAGAATATGGCATCAAAATCAAAGCTGAGAATTCTCAGTTTATGCAAGAAAGCATTGAATATTTGGACAAGATTGACAAGAATGGACTCCATCCTCTGACAAACAAAGTTCAAGCAATTGGGTGGATGCTCCTGTTCCAAAGGATCAAAGTCAACTCAGGTCATTTCTTGGAATGCTACAATATTACTGACGTTTTAATGGCAACCTATCAACAATGATTCATCCACTGAATAATCTACTGAAAGATGCTGTTCCTTGGGAGTGGACTACCTCATGTGATAAAGCTTTCAACAGTGCTAAGTCTGCTCTCATATCTGCCAAAGTGTTGATACATTACGACAATGAACTTCCGGTGAAACTAGCATGTGATGCCTCAAACTACGGACTCCGAGCTGTGATTTGCATACGCCTCACGAACACTAGAAAAGAGTGAACAAAACTATGCACAAGTTGAAAAAGAAGCACTTGCCTTAGTCTATGGAGTCAAAATGTTCCATGAATATCTTTATGGAAGACATTTCACCCTAGTCACAGACCACAAACCCCTACAAACCATTGTAGGACCAAAGAAGGCTGTTCCTACGCTTGCTGCAGCAAGAATGCAGAGATGGGCCCTAATTTTCTCTCTGCATACACATACGACATTGAATTTTAAAGGACTGAAGATCATGCTAACGCTGACCTACTGTCATGTCTCCCATTACAAAACAAAGATTGAATACCTGATGTACTAGTATCTGACAATTGCCCCCAGTTCACATCAGACAAATTTTCTAGATTCATGACAATGAATGGCATTCAACACAAGAGAAGTCCTCCATATAATCCTCAAATCAATGGTGCTGCTGAACAGTTTGCTCAAATCCTGAAAAACAATCTCAAAACGTCGGAAGGAAATGATGTACAGACACAGTTGACAAGAATGTTGATCAAATACAGTTCTACACCCCTTTCAACGACAGGAAGATCCCCGGCAGAGCTACTGATGTCACGACAAATCAAAACTAGATTACATCTTCTACAACCTAGTCTACAAAGAAATATCATGGAAAGAAAAAAAGAACAACACAAAAATAGCAAGAAGAAATTAAGACACTTTGTTCCTGGTGATTTTGTTGCTGTAAGAAGATTCCGAGGGAATGACAAGTTGGTAACAGGAATCATAATGCAGAAAACAGGCCCAGTGAGTTACATTGTGGATGTAATTGTAATTGGACATTCAATTCATGTGCACATTGATCACCTTATCAATGCATCAAATGAAACTGTTCAACAACCTGTGGTCATGAACAATGACATTCCAACAAAAATTATTCCTGAAATCAAAAATAAATCTTTGGATATCTTTCCAGAGATTTCTGATGATAAACCTATTTCCAAGGCTGAGAAATCAACTACGTTGCAGTCTGAGGGACCTCAAACTCCAGCAGCAGAGCAGTGTGAGCAGAGACGCTACCCCAGGTGAGAGAGACGACCCCCATAACGCCTGGACCTGTGATGTGAAAATAAACTGTTGCAGTGTGACATAAATTGTTCCTGTGTGATAAAGAACCTTAAAGAGTTAACAAACTTTGATCTTAAAACTGTTTGTGTTATTAAACCTTTATCGTTACTCCTTCACGTTTGCACTAATAGTTTATTTCATAATTGGGTTGTACATTAAAAGGGAAGGAGTGTTGTGTATGCTAATTACTTCCACATCCTCACATGGCCTTTCGCGGTTGGCTCAGAGTAATGACATCAACTTATGTTGAGTGACGTCACATGTCGTGCTCTTGAATTCACTTAGGTAAGCTTGTCAACAACTAAAGATGGAACCCAAGCTGTATGATCTTGTTCAAGTTGTTGTTTATAAAAATGAGGCAAAAACATAACACCATTAGTCGCCTATATATAATATATATATATATATATATATATATAACACCTCATGTTAATATAGGTCTTCAGCAACCCATGCTCACCATAAAATGCAACTTTGTTCGTCATAAGAGGCAACTAATGGTGTTGTTTTTATTAACATGAGGTGTTAGCGCAAAAGCCCCGATACTGCACTGCACTGTTGCCTTGGCCGTTTTAGCCTGCACTCGTTAGCCAAATAAAACATTTACGAACCCTCAATACATCAGGAGTGAGGACGATATCTTTTGTTTGAGTTCTATGCGCTGTCAAAGGTGCTGGAGCTCTGCTGAATTTGAAGAGGTTTCTCAATCTTTCTTTGAGGTCAGATTCCGGTTTCGACATCTTTAAAGAAATAGAATATATCCGTATAAGTCGGTCCCAAGGTCTAGTCACAAGTGCACTTGTCTAAAATCATGTTTAAGTTTTGGCCCTGTTCCCTTGACCTGTGATGCTGAAATAAATGTGGTGGTCTTGAAGGGTCTGACAACTATGACGGGTCTCCACTAACAAGTAAAAACATTTCGCATATTTCAAAAGAAAGTATTAATCTTACATTATCGTTTTGTAATTATCTTATCGAAATAAATTGACATGTCCATAGTGTTGGCATGTACTGTGTCAACTTTTGGTGCTTTCGGATATTTGTATATTGATGTATGCGATCTAATCAGCCTGAACTGGTTCTGCTGTTGGGGTTGGCACGCGACGCAGGTTAGCAAGCTCCTCACAGCGATAGCCCTTCCGCGAAGCTCTCTCTCACCCGTCGAATCCAGTTTATGTTACAAAAGACAACACCAACAGCGGAATAATAAATATCCGAGTGGGCTAACATGTTGTAAACATGAGTGTTATTGTAAAACCAAAATTAAATTATTAAGTAGTATTTAGAATCATGTATAAAATCCATCTAGATGCGAAGTTACGTTAATAAAAACGTTTACCATAATGGTATTCTGAAATCGTTTTTGTTCAAATAGGCCCTATATGTTAACTCTCTCCTGTGCGAGAAGGCATGTAAGTAAATCGGGAAAAGATATGTTATAATTTCGGAATACATCGATAATACACTTAATTGAAACGGCAATATTCTCAGTATAAATCATGGATCGTGTAATGGCATTAGTTTCTACAAAGTGGTTGGCAGATAGCATAATATCCAACTCTAAATGTATCAGAATTATTGATGCTTCTTGGCATCTCCCAACGTCAGGGAGAAACGGGAAACTTGAATTTGAGCAAAAACATATCCCTGGCGCTCAGTTTTTCGACATTGATGAGTGCGCTAACAAAAGTTCACCCTTTGGACATATGCTACCGGGCCCATTCGAGTTCGAAGCATATGTTGGAGATCTCGGCATTGGTAACAATACACACGTTATAGTGTATGATAATAATGAACTTTTTGGGCTCTTTTCTGCTCAACGTGTGTGGTGGACATTTCGAGTTTTTGGCCATGCCAAAGTTTCTGTATTAGATGGAGGATTCCCAAAGTGGTGCAGAGAAAACAACCTTACTTCATCTGAATCACGGTCGGTTTCTATCAACCGTTTTAAGGCCAACTTTAATCCTGCGTTTGTGAAATCTTTTGGAGATGTGAAAAGAAACATAGATGACAAACAATTCCAGCTAGTTGATGCGAGGGCCCCTGGTCGCTTCCAAGGAATATCTCCTGAACCTAGACAAAGTAAGACATTTTGTTTATTGTGTACCGGGTATGTATACATAGCTTGGGCACATAAGCATAAAAAGTACTCCCTTCTCAATATGTCTCTACGACATGAACAAGCCAAATGAGTGAATAAACAAATCAATGAGTAGTATAGGGAATGGGAATTCCATGCTCCATCCTGCGGAAATGGAGCACTAATTTCTTTAAGTATACGTCTAATCTGATAGTACACGTGAAATGATAAAACAGACTTATTCAGTTCAAATCCTGGGGCATAAAGATATACACCACATCCTGTTGTGGCACATCATATGGCAAAGTTTAACTGGTTTTGCCAAAATTGCATTGGATTTTGGAACCAGTCATGCACCATTTTATCGCTGGTTGCCGTGACCCTGTATTTTTCAAAGATATCGGGAAATTTAACGAAAAAGAGGCACTTACTAAAATTGACTTATTCGTAATGTAAGTTGATTTCATATTTAAGTTATGATATAGTATCTTTGTATATTTAATATGTATGTTACACTCCCAGGAATAACAAATGGCCAGTCTATTCAACTGCTTCATACTATAGATAACTCAGCTGGGCAACTTGAAGTCGCTCTATGCAATGTAACATATTACTCGAGTAGTATAGGTAATGATGGTTCTGGACCACTTCCACTGGAGCCGGATTCATATACCTATACTGCTACTACAGGTGGCATTTTTTATGCCAAAATGATTATGTGATTCAACGATAGTCATGAGATTAAGTTAAATTGGCCCTAGCTCACCACCACCTGGAGCCAATGATATAAATTTTTATAGGTAATGATGGTTCTGGACCACTTCCACTGGAGCCGGATTTATATTAAACGAAATATCAATATTAATTAATAATGAATAAAATTTACTATAGCCCACGAGGATATTGGAAAGGTGTAGGAGCAATAAAAAAATTAGCCATCGCGACTAAGGTATCTAAAGATGTGGCCAAGGATTGGTTAAAGAAACAAGCGATGTGGCAGATATATTTACCGGCACCGCGTTATATACCGAGGAAGAAGTTTGATATTTTTACGACGAATGAAGTTCATCAGGCTGACCTCTTGTTTCTTCCCCACGATAAGGTAAAACGCAAAACGTATAAATACGCTTTAACGGTAGTGGATGTGGCTAGTCGATACAAAGAGGCTGAGCCATTAACCTCGAAAGAATCAACAGAAGTAGCTAATGCACTGAGCCGCATGTATAAACGCGGACCGCTAAAATGGCCTAAGCTATTTCAAGTAGATCCCGGTCGCGAGTTTATGGGATCGGTAACTAAACTGTTAACAAAGAACGATGTCGAAATAGTCCGTGGTGAAAGAGAGGCCCACTGCAGTCAAGCTATCTTCGAAAGATTTAACAGGACATTAGCGGAACGTTTTTTTGGCTATCAGTATGGGATCGAAATGAAATCGGAACGATTGAGATCAACCGAATGGGTGACACGATTATCAACCGTTGTATCAGCGCTGAATAATGAAGTAACGAGATTAATAGGGAAGAAACCATCTGATGCTATTAAAATGAAATCCGTGACTTCCGAATCTTCAGCACCGAGGAGAGGCAAAGAACGAAAACTTCTGGATAGAGTAAGGGTAAGATATTTATACCAGGCCGGTGAACTCGGAGGCCTACGTCGCGCAACCGATCCCATATGGTCCCTTAAGACGTATAACATTAGTCGATTGGTTACGAAAGAAGGAGAGCCTATTCTTTATTATCTTCAAGATGGACCGGGTAGGGCATTTGTACGAGAAGAGTTGTTCATAGTTCCCAACAGTACGGTATTACCACCATAACCATAAGCATAGGTATTTACACCATCATTATCAATCCATCTCTTTGTATCTAAGGGGGATAATGATGTCTTGTTCATTCTTAATCCATATATCCTATGATTGTAACTTCTTAAAGAGTTCAACTGGCTATAAGTTTCCTTAATCTTTCTTCCTCATTAGATCTGACTAATTTAACATCAACACGCTTCCTTAGATTCTCCATAGTTTTACCAAATACTGAGTTATTCATGAGCTTATACAGATTCTTTTCGAAATCGCTGGTAGCTATCTTTCTTAAATCTGTGTTCAACCTTATATAGGGTTCCATCCAAGGGCTTTGATCGAACTTTAGAACTCTGTGTATTTTCTTAAGTTTCATACCTAACGATAGATACAACTGGAGATTTCTGTAGTGAACTATATATTTTGTCTTATCCATCAAATTTGGTACGAGTTTTTCTGCGTTAGCTAACCTACTATTTCCCATCAATGAGCGTTGATATTCCGACATCCAATCTTTATTAACCATTAATCTTTCGGGAGCTAGCGGATAACTGTTATGATCTTTATGTAACGAACTTGGATATTCCAAGTCAACTTCTAGTATGTACCCTTTATTCACATCATTCACATTGATATTAATAACATTGATATTATCGATATCATCGACCCATTCAAAACCACCCGTAGGTAAAGGTTGACTCATAGCCCATCCGTACAAATTGTTGGCGTCGAGATATAATATGTGCGTGTCGGGTTTACTAGGATCGTATCCTTCCACTAATTTATTATTAGCCTTAGAATACCTTTTAGCTGCCATCGATATACCACCTCTTAATCCTTTCTCAATAAACAAGTGCATATCGTAATCTGTTAGTAATTTTAGTTCTATGCCGGTCTTCTTCAACAATGCATCCCACGATAGTCCGGGACTGGAATAGTACCATGCCGGATCCAAGCCGTATTGTTTCAAACATGTCTTTCTAAATATCTCGAATATATCGGCGAGTAACAGTACATCGGTTTTTAAGTACAGATTGTGATAAACGCCTAAATTCATACAACCTAATTTATCCCAGACCGTCAGAGCGTGTTCATAATCGGCATCTGTTATTTTAGATTCTGTTAAGTTACTATAGAATGATTCGAGGGGTGGTAATTCAGTTTCTTCGAATCTAGACCAATCATCCATATATTCGTAAGGATATACACCTTTTCTCAGCAACAAATGACGAGTTATCTTATCGGTATATTTATTTGTTATCGCGAAGTCATCGGGATTGTTCGCATTAGCTAAATTGTCCAGGGAAGATAACAGAAACTGTACGGAGTCTATGAATCTAAGCCCATTACTTTGCTTTGTTCTAGATTTCCCATCCTTGTCCCTATAATGTATAGGTTTAGTCAACGAGAACGATATGTATTTTTCCATATTATTAGGAATGCACGTTAAACCGCCGTCGGTCTTCGAGATAGCTTGCATAATGAGATGTGAATCGTATCCCCTAAGGTTATGAAACACAACGGGGATGGGTATTGTTTGAGAGTTCATTTTTAGTTTCAAGTTACACTCGTTATGCGCGGCTCCCCGATATTTACCCGTGACGTGGCAATGATCTCTTACGGAATCCCCATCCAGGGGTTTATTACAAACGTGACAACTCGTTGACTTCTTATGGGCCCTCCAATCATCCCTACTCATACGCATGGGTTTCTTACACGATAATTTTTCCCTGATTATTCTCTCTTCATTTTGTAGATATTCTAGGAACTTTCCCGCTGCATCGGGACCTCTGTAAATCACGGGCGGGTTTGTTTTCCCATCATACCTTACAACTATATATCCAAACCCACAAGGAATATGTTCTTGAGTTTTGTACGTAAAACTATTATCAGTATTGCTACGGTTGGTATTTTCTATGGGTTTGATAAGCGCTTCGAAGTCGGCGTAAATTACGTACGGTACTGGCATTTGATTACAATAATGTTCAAATTTTAATATATTTTTTCCTTCTTTAGGCATATCGATCCTGATAGCATTCTGTCCAACACCTCTACAGTCTTCTTTATGCGCTTCTAATAGATCTTGTCTGCTGTACCCATGCAGGCATCTTTCACAGAAATATTTCTTTTCCTTATGTTTTGTTTGATCGTATAATAGCCTGTTTAAACTCTTTATCCACGTATAATGATATTTACCATCTTTTTCGATCAGAAATGAATTGATTCTGGGGATACTTTCCGGAGCGGAGCTTATCCTGTGTACAACAATTCCTTTAGAATGTCCGAAAACATTTATAGCTAAATTATTTTGCTTTTCCACCTTATCAATTTGTGATATTGGTGTAGGTTCGTCTATACCATCGAAGTTGAGTCCATCGTTTTGGGGATAGCTAGAAGGTCTATCCGGATGCTTGTCTACGGGGAACAATGCAGATCTTATCATCATTCTTAAACAGTCATCGGATTTATTTTTTACGTTAATTATGGCTTTTTTCTTCTTATAATACAGGGGGTAAATCTATATAAGATCCACCTTTGAAAGGCATATAATTTGCTATATCTAAATATAAACTATCGATTTTATCCACACCCCAACCAGAACCTCTATTAGTCCAGCGTTCTCAAGTTTCCTGTATCCTCTGAATTGATGTATCTAATGATGTGTTTATAGTATCGGATTCGGTTATAACTTCTTCATTGCTCCGAAAATAAGGTTCAGTATATTCAGTGCTATCGTCTGTGTTACTTTTACTCAATGACATTTTAACCGCTAGCTGGTATTTTATACTATTTAAATCATCTAATTCCTCGTTAATTTTGCTCAATACGATGGGCTACACATCATTAACATCCATGTTCCAACCGCTTAGATATTTACCAACGCCGGCGGATGTGGGTACAAATATTAATTCTTGATGTTGATTATCATTATCATTATTATGTTGATTATCAACATTATTAGGTTGAATATCATTATCAATAGGTTGATTATTATCTAGTAAAGCGATCAATTCAGCTCTTCTCATTCGAGAATAACCTCTCAGCCCACCGTTTCTCGCTCGAGCTTTGAGTTCTCTAACAGTCTGGGGTCTGTTGTATTCCAAACCGAGTAAATCCATCAATTCAGCTTTTCTCATTCGAGAATATCCACGCAGTCCACTTTGCTTTGCCATAGCTTTTAATTCTCTGACAAAAACCATT